TGCTCCCGGGGACGCGCGCAGCCGGTCCCTGTGTCCGCGTCCCCACCCCGCGCGAGGTCCCAGCTGAGGCCCCCCGGCCCCGGGCAGACGAGCACCTGCAGGGTGCCGGGCGCGAGGGCGCATAGTAGGCCCTTAAGGCGTCACCCTCTGTCTCCAGTGCCAGCCCCGCTGATCTGTCCTCTCTTGACCCGAGAGGGAGCAAGGGGACCGGGAGGGGACGCAGATGGCACGGTGAGCCTGAGGCTCGCAGCAGGAAACCGAGACGGAAAGGCCCTTCCTGGCCTGGTGCTGGGGAGTTGGTGTCTCTGCCGGAGGATGACGGTGTGCAGCGCACTGGAGTGTAATTGCAGTTGTATTTCTGGTTAAGCGTGCAGAGAGAGTGGAGTGGATTGTATATTCACTCAACAAGTATTTTTGCATGCCTGGGATGAGCTCTGGGGGAGGCCAGACCCTGTTCCCTGGAGTTTATGCTTTGTCCTGACAACAAATAATAGTAGCGAACGTTCATGAACGTTGATTACGTATGAAGCACTGTGCAAGCGCTGCTTAAGCCTTACCATAGTCCTCTGAGTATGGGTAATATTGGGCCCACTTTACAACAAAGAAAATAAAGCCTGAAAGTTAATGGACCCTGTCCAGACTTACTAAGTAGCGAAAGAGAAAGGTGGCTTCTATACATGGATGAGACTTTTATAGAGCCTCCAACTTCAGGATTTGAAGTCCTTCCTTAGGAAAAATTAAAATAATCACAGGTGTGAAGTCGCTAGCCCGTTCTGGAGCCCATGAAAATTCCCTCTCGATAAATCCACTTGCAATAAAAACTCCAATTTCAAACCAAAGCGGTAAAGACTGTGGCTGGGTGTGCCCTGGGGACCGAGGGTTCCTAGTGCATTATTTGATTTTTTTTTTTTTTTTTTTTTTTTGGTTTTTCTCCTGTACCGGGAACCGAACTCGCGACCTTGCACTTGCCAGGCAAGTGCTTTTTGCCGCTGAGCTAAATCCCCAGCCCCCCTAGTGCATTATTTGAAACTAAACGGCGCATCCAGTCCCCAGTTGGTAGGTTTCATAGTAGAGTTGTTATTCTTCTGATCTGTTCGGCTATTAAAGAAGCAACATTTTTTTAAAGGAAGAAAAACAGACTCCAGGTCGGACTGCTTCAGGTCTTTTCCCACATGTGGCAAAAGAGGAAAGCCAACAGAAAGGACTTGCAGGACAGGGAGACAGGTTTTGCCCTACAAAGGCAGCTCCGTGTTGAAAATGAAGCCAAGTCAGGCTAGAGAGCAAAGCGGCATTTCTATTTCAAATAGGACAGGGTAGCCTCAAGGGTCAGCGGAGAAGGAGTGATGTTTTAATTGGCCTTGTTAGGACAGAAATTTTTTCCTGGCAGCAGCAATCCTTTTAATAAGTCAGAGGTTTTGGTCATGTCTAATAGGTCATTGTTCCAACCCATACGCATACTGAAAACTTTTAAAATACAAATAAAATAAATATAAGGAAAAGACACCAAAATGCATAAAGGAAACGTGATTTGTTTTTCTCCCCTGCCTTCCTGCCTTGTGTGAACTGACTGGTAGGTGTGGTGTGGAAAATTAGCCTCCAAGTACATCCAGTCGAGGCGCTACACAGAAAGGCTTGAAGCAAAATTCAGATGTTGAAATCACAAGGCTCACTGAAGCCATCGAAAACACACAGTAAGAAGCCGGGGCAAAGAGGAGGGCGAACACGCTTAGGGTAGGGTACCCATGGGTGGCGTATTTTATGAATGTGTCTTACGCACAGGTTCCTACCCACCCTACCCCCATTCTCAGCTGTGTCATCCTTCCCTGCTGATGGGTCGTTTCAAAGACTACAGTGAGCTGACGGAGGCAGAAGGTGCCTGGGGCCAGACCTAGCACACACTTGCTTTGTCAGGAAGCACGGAGTAGCTGTGGATTTCACCTGCGTTTCTCAGGCAGAGAGCAAGGGCAGCCTGCACAGGTGTGAGCCGTGGGTGATCATCCTGAGCCTTCCTATCAAGTGCCTCATGAATATTTAACATATCGAGCATCTTTGCGTTCTGCATGGTCCTTCCGGCTTTTCCTCTTCAGGCTAAGCTCACAGCTACTTTCATTTCATGAACCTTCCTCACAATGTTTGTTTCTCTTATTTCCTCAGATGGAACTGTTTATTCTTAGTAAGAAAACAAGCACATTACAGGGGTCATATTAACAAAAGTGCCAAACACTTACATAGGACTCACCATGTGCCAATGCCATGCTCTTTCAATATATTTATCCACGTAATCCTCACAGCGATCACATACGGGTATTACTGTATCGCCCCATTTTACAAGAGCAAAGAGAGCAAACTGGTGATGCCTATAGCAATGAAGCAACCCGAGCAAGACTGTACCACTAGTAAATGACAGCGTGGCATTTGAACCCACATAGTCTGGCTTCAAACTCTGGCTCTTAATTACTCATTCCTTTGTGTTCACTTAAATATTTTAAGCATGTACGGTCATATACGGCGGGATGGGGGTTTATGTTTTGGTTTGGGGAGATTTTATTTGTATGAAAATGATGTCAACCACTCCTTCCTCCACCATCAAGTCAACATCAAGTGTGATGCCCCTCTTTAAAATTCTTCCCTGGGGCTGGAGGTATAGCTCAGTGGCATAAGCGCCTGCCTGGCAAGCACAAGGTTCCGAGTTCAATCCCCGGTACCGCAAAATAAATAAAATAAAATAAAATAAAATTCTTCCCTGATGCTCTGAATTCCCTGACCCACAAAGTGGGTTTTCCTTCTTTCTGGTGACTTTGAAGATGTTCTTTCTCACTCCCTTGGCTTCATTCACAGATTATCTGAAGGTGCAAGACATCGCTCTCTGGGGCAGCTTCTCTCCTGAACGCACATCCCGTTGGCAGTGGGGATGGGGAGAACAGGTTGGGTTTGAGAGTTACCCCAAGCGTGAGAACACACTTGGTGATGCAGTGGGCGTGGGAGGGGAGAGGAGGGCGGTGTTACTGACTCACACTTCTGGCTGGAACAACTGGGTAGGTTGTGGTAACCTTTACAGAAGGGAAGGGGACGGGGGGGGGAGGAGCAGGTTGGAGAGGAGGAAGATGGGGTTCATGTTTGACGCGGTATGTTTGTGCTGCTGACTGGGAGGCTTGCAGGTGCAGCTGTGAGGTGGGCAATTAAAGATCCCCACGCTCAGCAGAAAGGGCTGCACCTGGCAATCAGCATTGGGAAGCTCCTTACAACCACGAAGAGAATCGCTTAGGGAAGGGCTATGCCGAGAGAGTGAGAAAGGTCAGCACTTACCCGTGGGTGGAGGAGGAGAAAGAAAGGAGGAGGAGGAAATTCAAGAGGAGATTTTTCAAGGAGTGAGTGGCTCACACTCTCCCCCGCCTTCAGAACCCGGATGAAATATTGTATTTCTCAGACAGCATCTTGTCGGCCCTCTGTGCCTTCATTTACGGTGTCTCTCCTCTGCCGTGGCACTCACCGAGACACCTCTGATTCCTTTGACTTCCATGTTAGACTGTGAATTCCTTAAAGACAAGGAAGAACTTTGCATTGTTTAACATTTTTATTATTTGATATAAAGAGTCCGCTGTAATAGCTCAAATACACTGGTTTCAACACGATAAAAAGATGTTTATCCCTCATGTAACACGGTAGGTAAATCAGTGGCTGAATGGTGTTGGGAACCAGAGGATTTATGCTCTTTTGATACATTATCGGTATAAAGCTTCTACTTCCATATCCAAAATGGCATCACAAAAATGCAACGTCTACCTCTTGTAATGGTGTGCGCATTTTAGCCAGCATAGAAGGGAAAAGCATGTTCCTTCCTTTTAAGAACATGAGCGGAGGTTGTGTATATTGAGAAGAGAACACACACCCAGGCACAGCTAGCATCCCTGTCACACCATCACGACTGTGTCACAAACCCAAGCACCATTTCTGTAGGATAGTAGTTACCACCTTTGGCTCACCCAGACCCTGACTGTTAGAATGTGCTACTATGAGCAGAGAAAGGATCAACACCAAGGTGGGAGGGGTGTGGGGAGAGAGTTATAAATACCTGTTGAATAGATTGATAATAAATGGATAAAGCCAAGGATGACG